GTTAAAATGATTGTCTTGAGTTGTGTCTTCACAAACTTAAGAATTTCCAGGACAAACATCAACTTCCTCTGAACATCTTTTCAGTCTTACAAAAAATGCATCAAAAGATTCTCCATCAAGCTGCTTACACTGGAGGAGTTTTCTTCTTCTACGTGCTACGTTGCGCTGTCCCTTAACATATTCCTGTAACTTGTCAAGCACGGCCTCTACAGTCAGAGTTGTCGTAGGAGGCACTTGAAGTGTGTGCTCGAGAGTACGTTGTGTCTCTAAGGACAAGCACATACGAAGCTGTATCATCTGTTTAGGCTGTGGTAAACTTGACAGGTCAACCATTGTTGCATAGTCTTGCCAACGTCGACGCCATTCCCGAAATATCTGATAAGAAGCGTCAGACTTCAGAGAGGGAGGCGTTTGTGCTGCAGCCTTTTGAGGAATTGTTGAACCGACTCTGGGAAATGAGGTACCAGTACCTCTAGTCATATCAGCATTGGTAGTAGCAGAAGAATCTTGTAGAGTCGACCGTTGTGGGGAGGCTAACAGGGAAATCATGGCTTCAAATCTGGCTTGATCCTCTCTTCTTCTCAGGTCATCCTCACTTCTACGTATATCTTCTAGTTCTCTGCGTCTTTGTTCATCTTCGTGGCGTCGTCTTTCAGACTCTCTCTACCGAATTTCTTCCTCTTCTCTCCTTGCAACATAGTCCTGGCGTCGAGAAGTTTCCATCCACTTTATCAGTTGAAGGAGATCTTTGGACGCAGGCACCGCAGGAGAGCTTGCTCACGACGAACGAGGAGATTCTGTGGGTGATTGGGCGTTGTCACTGTGGGGAGCGTGGGGCCTGAGTGTGGGTGGGGAGAGGTCTCCCAAACTTAAACTCATAATCCCGTCGTCCAGGGTATCTTTTTGATCCCTGTGAGACATGCCGACAGCTTCTGTACTCTATCTGTGCAAGAGACCGGGTCAACCCCTCGTAATCTATGCACAGAATTACAGAAGTCTAAAGTAATACTCAAGAATTTAATATAAAGTGGGCCTGTGAGTGCGTGTGTGTATGTGTGTATGGCTCGTTGCCGGGAGGCTTGGCGCGCTGCCAGACGTAGAGGCAGCTGGGCGCAAGTCGCAACTGAACCGAAGTTGTCTTAATGCGCGCTGCTGAGTTACCCAATGACTATAGGCAGGAAGGGATGTACTGCTGGGCAGCTCCCTCAGTCATCTGACTGCAGTTTGCACAGACAATTCTGATTAAAATATACAACACAGCACTTCACCGAACACCTCACTTCACAGCACAGCACTGTACACAGCATAGCACTTCACAACACTAAGTCCTGAGGCTTGTAGTCTGGCTGTAAATCCTTGGCGAAGCTGAAGACGAGACGCCATTAACACAGTCCGGCGGGAAGGCTGAATTCACTCCGAATCTCACTGAGAAATCTCACTGCGCCATCTATGTTTGTCTTTGATACCCCGAAAATGTTCTACACTACTGAGTGTATACACAAACACTTGTTATCTTGAAAATAGGTTCTTATTCTCGTATGGGAGATATACAGAGGAAACAAATAGACAGTGGGCTTCCACACCATAAGGACTAGCGATCTCAACTCTCTGTATCACTCTGCACTGGCATGTACAGATGCCAGCATTCACAAGCTGTATACATAATATGTAAATATGATAATTCACATACATAACATGGTGCATAATAAATGGAAATATTACATAGGATTAATACATGTTCTGTAATACTTTACTATACACAATTAATAGAGGAGATGAAAGGCGGATAGTCTCAAATATCCCCCCCCCTCCCCCCCCCTCCCCCCGTATCTAACTGAGTCGTGATGTTATGGACATGTTGCCGAACCATATTGCTGTTGATGTTGGTAAGGAAGATTGGGATTTTAAGGTCTGTTTGAGCCAGACTTCTCTTTTTAGCGGTATTTATTTTGTTATTCTGACAATTTTGAAGGAAATCCATCGTTCTCCAGCTATATAAACTAATCACAAATATGACTTACAAGTAGATGGTTTAATAATAATAATAATAATAATAATAATAATAATAATAATAATAATAATAATATTAATAATAATAATGGATGTAGAAGCTGTCGCCAACACAACAACCACACCCAAAGTTAACGAGCTGCATGACCCAGTGTCAAGGAATAGTCCGAGAAGACCGGACAACTTGCCAACTGCACTGGCTAACCTTTACAACCGGAACATGATCCGCAAATCGATTAACATCCAGGTTCCCAATTTCTGCTGGGTATACAAGAGGCAAATGGCGTAAAGAAACATGCCCATAGTTTCATTCTGCCCGGAGATCGAACCCGAGGGCCGCTCTCTTGCGAGGCAAGCATGCTGAACATTACACCACAGGTCGCCTAGGTTTATGATAGTCAAGTTTTCATAGTCAAACGAGCAAGGCTGTCATTTGAATGGTCTTTCATAATCTGACTACCTAAACGTGAGTATTGTCAAGGAATGTACTCTACAAAAAGATTAACGTGGCCCCCATGGAAAAAAAAAAAATGTTTTCCGGCTGAGATAATCATGCCTGGTGTGACAGTACAAATTCCGTTGTTACTTTTTGCATATTTTGAGATTTAAAACGTAAATTTTTCATTAAATACCTTCCATGGAGAGACCTAGCCCTTTGCTGTATTGCTGTGAGTTATTTGACTATAAGTTTACTAAACCCTATTTCAAGTGATTAGCTGCAAAGGTCTGGATGTATAGGCTCGCTACAGAGAGGACTTAGGGAACGTAAGTAGGCCTAAGATATATTACAAATCTAGTGTAATATTTCTCTCTCTCTCCCCCCGAAACAAAGGAGAAATCAAAATACAATATGACTGCCGGTAAATCAAAAGTAATGGCGGTGAGTCGTAATATATGCGGATGACTCTCCCATCTGAAAAATAAAATATTCCGTACAACACCTTAGGATTTCAGGACAAGGTAACGCACGATCGAACAGGCAGCAAATATTATCGTTTACCGCGCTAGGCTTGAATCACATTGAAGTTTGTTATTCCCTCTGAGTTAATTAACCCTAATGTGAGTTCAGTGTATAAATAGCACAGGTCAAGTTTCATACCTTTGTTTACCTCTTCCATATGTTTGATTTGCCAGGGCGTGACAGGCTATTACAGAGATATGAACAGTGGTACAGGTCCTACAGGGTACAGTGATCATAGGTAGCAACAAGGCATAGTAGGCTGTTACAGTGGTATGGACAGTGTTACAGGGTACAGTGATCATAGGTAGCAACAGGGGGTATGGCAGGCTGTTACAGTGGTATGGACAGTGTTACAGGGTACAGTGATCATAGGTAGCAATAGGGGGTATGGCAGACTGTTACAGTGGTATGGACAGTGTTACAGGATACAGTGATCATAGGTAGCAACAGGGGGTATGGCAGGCTGTTACAGTGGTATGGACAGTGTTACAGGATACAGTGATCATAGGTAGCAACAGGGGGTATGGCAGGCTGTTACAGTGGTATGGACAGTGTTACAGGATACAGTGATCATAGGTAGCAACAGGGGGTATGGCAGGCTGTTACAGTGGTATGAACAATAGTACAGGATACAGTAGTCATAGGTACAGTAGCTAAAACAACTATCTGTGCAGGTGGGGGTCGATATGCTCCGAAATTTTACGTGTGACTAGTGACAGCCCTCATATACCAAAATTTATCGTCCATGGTCTCATATTGTTTCCCACAAACTGTGCACAGATAATTGTTTTAGCTACTGTACAAAGGGTGTGACAGGCTGTTACACTGAATAAGAAGCACGCTGGTCTATCGTCAATCAAGCCAATTCCTACACCCACTCCTTAAGTAAGATTCATTCGATGTTGGGCAGTAACCCAGTGCCACAGTCATTAAAGAATATTTATTTCGTTTCAGCTTCTCCTTTGTCCCTCTCTGCATTTCCCTATCCCAAACTATCGTCACGATAGCCTGGGACTCAACCTCAAGCTATATGAAGATTTTCTTCGTGGTAGTTTATGACCCAGCCAGTAAAGAGAAGTTTCATAATGGTACTTTGTGACCCAGCTGTAACAGAGAACTTTCCCCATGCCAGTGTGTGTGTGTGTGACCAGGTTAATAAGACGTTACTATGATATGGAAGAGGAACGTTGTAATGGTTGAAGTATTTACGCCACCGAGGAAAGATGCGTATATACACATGAATTGAGTGAGTCGAATATAGTTTACTCAGGGAGGATCTTGGGGAGCTGTGGAAGTGGGAGACAGGCACTTGAGTCACATCACGTATACATATTAATTTTTTCTTCTGTGGGTTAAAGAAAATGTTAGCAAAGAAGATGAATATAAGTTCATGGGTTGTCACCTAAACCCTCTGCTTATTAATTGTGATAATTATAAGGTGCACTTTGATGAAAACAGCAGGTTTTGTGATTCATTTAGATTTTGTTTGGATTTAAGCTTTCAATCCCTGTAGGGAGAGAGTGTAGGGAGGGAAGAGAAGAAGGAAGTAGGGAATGGCGCTTGGAGGATGAGTGTGTGGCGGGTGGAGTTGTGGAGTGTGAGGATAATTGAGTTTGGGGTGTGAACTTTACATTGCCATGGATGAGGTTAATAGAGGGTGGGGATGCAGGAGAGAGTGGTGGGTCGGGACAGGAGAGCAACATCCCCAGCTCACTCGTCTGGTAGGCAGCAGGTGGGTCACTAACACAATGCACAATGGAGTCAATAAATAAATCTCATTAAATCAGGAATAGTATATGTCTCCGTCCTTCATTTTGCGTCCTGTGGCAGCTCCCATTTATATTTTTTCTTCATATTACATTTATAAGTTTCCTTTAAGTTAATTATATAATTTTATTGGAAAGATTGAAAGATGTCTGGGCTGCAGAGAAAATGCTAAAGTGGATGCTGTTGCCCCCTGACCCGGCGTGCAGGTCCAGGGATAAAGGTCTTGGTGTCTGGGGGTGGGGGAGGGACTAAGTAGGATGGAAAGAAAGTAAATTTTACCAAGCTGAGAGTGTGGAGGTATATAAGACGGGCGGCCGCCAGCTACACTATACTCCACCATGAAGCTCCTGGTGAGTCTTGTCTCCCTCACTCTCCTGGTGAGGGTGTTTGTTATGTCCACTCACTGACAGTCATCCGGCCCACGGGTGTTAAGTGTTTGTGTATAACGCCCCCGTGACATGTATACTTGACACTTCCAGTGACCTGTTGTTTAGATTATAATATATTGTGTAGTTGACACTTTAACTGACTCACTGGTATAGTAACCAAGACTTCCAGTGACTGACTTCATTGTGTAGTAATTATAAGACTTCCAGTGACTGACTTCATTGTGTAGTAATTATAAGACTTCCAGTGACTGACTTCATTGTGTAGTAATTATAAGACTTCCAGTGACTGACTTCGTTGTGTAGTAATTATAAGACTTCCAGTGACTGACTTCATTGTGTAGTAATTATAAGACTTCCAGTGACTGACTTCATTGTGTAGTAATTATAAGACTTCCAGTGACTGACTTCATTGTGTAGTAATTATAAGACTTCCAGTGACTGACTTCTTTGTGTGGTAATTATAAGACTTCCAGTGACTGACTTCTTTGTGTAATTAGTAACTCGAAGACTTCCAGTGACTGACTTCGTTGTTTAGTAACTATAAGACTTCCAGTGACTGACTTCGTTGTTTAGTAACTGTAAGACTTCCAGTAACTGACTTCGTTGTTTAGTAACTATAAGACTTCCAGTGACTTATGTATTGTGTGGGTGAGTGGCGCCCGTGGAGAAGACACAAAAACATACGGTACAGTACTACAGGAAGAGGAGAAGGTTCATTTCACAACAATGCCTTTCCACACCCACAGGAAGTCCCCTCTTAGACCCCAGTACGTGTGAAGAAACACCACTTTGGCTCCCTTGAGGAGTGAATAATGTATGTTTCTTATTGTCGTTGTGTCACCTCCTCGACTCCACCGGTTATTGTGCTCAAGAATGTTCAATTAAATAATGTCTTTGTGGATTTCAGTGAGAGGAAGATACATTATTTAATAGTACACAACGTAATGGTAACTTGTGTAATGATTGGAGCTTAGGGTGTCATGGTAGATCTGGTTATGTATGAGTTATTGTTGTCATGGTAATATTGGTGGTAGTGGTGATATGGTAATACTGGTACTGGTAATGGTTGAGAGTTATTGCTGTCATAACAACACTGGTGATGAGAGGTTTGTGTTGTTATGGTGATAATGGTAATGACTTAGAGGTTTGTGTTGTCATGGTAACGTTGATAATGACCGAGAGATTTGTGTTGTCATGGTAACACTGGTGATGGGAGGTTTGTGTTATGGTAACACTGTTAATGATTGAGAGGTTTGTGTTGTCATGGTAACATTGATAATGACTGAGAGATTTGTGTTGTCATGGTAACATTGATAATGACTGAGAGACTTGTGTTGTCGTGGTAACACTTATAATGACTGAGAGGTTTGTGTTGTCGTGGTAACACTGGTGATGACTGACAGGTTTGTGTTGTCATGGTAACACCTGATACCGGTAACAACAATAACTGATAGGTGCTGTGTCACATGGAAATTTTCGGGTGTACAATACAGGCGGTGAGGTAAGGTAGCGAAATAGGACCACAAGAAGATTAACCCCGCAGTTTATTCCCCTGATGATTAAATACCTCAACATTACTTTGGGGAGTTAAGTTGAATTACGTGGGAATAAAGATTGAAGCCATTAAACAAGAGTGGAATTAATTTCGTCGTAGCTGAATGTGTAAGAATCCACATAATTATTTTAAGTTCGTACACAAAAGTGGCGTACAAAAATAGCATCACATTTATACTTGAGACTAGAGGAGCTCACTTAATTCGGAGAGAAAAATAATGTTCAGAATATTTAATTTTATCTGCTATTAATTGAACGTATCTTGCTATATATATTTTTTTGTTTTCTCGTTATTCTTGTGTTTGATCTTAAGCTAAAGAGTTAAGGTACATTGTTGGGTCTTTAGATACGAGGAATTTTCATCGTATGAATATTTGAATCTGGTCTTGGTTTACTGCCCACTCAAGAACATATACGAGACAACCCACGTGTCTGTCTCGTGGGTTTGGCGTTTGTCTCCCGGGTAGAGTAAGGTGAAGGTTTAGGTCACATTTTATATTTAAAGACTTGTGATTCAATGACGTTTTGAGGCCAGACGGTGAGTGTTTAACAATCCTTTTGATCTTTGCTGAAATTGGATTTAAATCTGAAACTCCTTTGTCAGTGTAGAAAGGGATTAGTAATCACATGTTGCCAACTTTTTGCTATAAACAATGCAGTATCGTAAGGATGAAGGCACTAAGCCACAGTAATTTGCATGGGGTGTTGTTATATTCAGAAGGAACATTGTATGGCAAAGGTGGAGGCAGATATATTCTCATACATGTCACATTAACAACAAAACATGAATACTCTTGCAGTGGCAGGTATACATAAAATGGCGCACGTTGTCCCATAACCACCTCCTTTTCCCCAATCGGTTAAGTTTGTCCTTAATTATATTTGTTATTGTTTGTTAATCATTTTAGCTTTTTGTATTTTGTTATGCACCTTTAAACACCGAAGATGAGACTCTAGGGGGCCTTGGATTCCTTGCCTTGACATTAACTCGGATGCAGGTTTTCTCCTTTACAAAATTCTTTAGAGATATTGCACAAACACTCCCCAGGACTGGATGACTGCTGTAACCCAGGTGAGGTGAGGTTAAGGTGAAGGAACACAAGGTGGGATGTTGTGCAGACTTACTGGGAATATTATCTGGGCAGAAAGCAGCATAAACAAGTAGACGTAAGTGAGGGAAGTGGGCGTTGTCATTTTATTTTATTTATTTTATTTATTTATTGGGTACCCCCCTACATCCTTGTGTAAGGTGAAGCGCAGAAGCGTTTACAGCGCCCAACAGAGATGCATTCTAAGTTCATGCTTGCCTTTATGTCTCATGAGTTGAGGGCGTAGAATCCTGAAGAGTCAATGGTTTTATGTCTAAGCAAGTTATTGGAAGCTCCAACAACTTGTCCCTGAATACGAATTCGCAACTTATGATTTACAGCAGGTACCTACTTTGCTGCTAGGTGAACAGGGACCAAGGGAGGCTGGGAAGTGTGTCCGAACAACTTTCCACCCGTGACATCTCGCTTGCGAGGCAAGAGCGGTACCGCTCTACCCACCGGCGCCCCTAGGGCGTTATCATGAAGGAAAACCGATTGAGGGGTGACACGGGTGTGTGTACTGATGGAGGATCCCTTAAATGGTGTAATGACTCGTGGTGATGGGTGGAGAAGGAACTGTACCAGTCATCCGAGTGTATTCAGGCGAGGTGTGTGTCGGTTATTAAGAGGTGTGGGCTATGTATACAAGAGTGAAAAGAGTCAATGTACGTATTGTAAATTTTATCTGGTGCTCCTACGTAACCTCGATGAAGTGAAGTTCTTTGGTATTTCCCTGTTATGTAAACAAACCTGCGCCAAATGTGTCTTCATGTTTATGTTGACTGAGGACTTTTGATTAAACTGTCCATATTTTCCGTAGATCTTCGCCTCACTGCTGGCGGCTGCTGCGGACGCCGGCCGTTTGGCAAGTCCTCAGTACAGACTGCCAACGCCCTCTGGTCCAGGCCTCTCTTTGGGCGGCACAGTGTCTACATCTGGCGGCTCTGGGTTTATATCTGGCGGCTCAGGATTTACCTCTGGCGGCTCAGGATTTACTTCTGGCGGCTCAGGATTTACTTCTGGTGGTTCAAGATTTACCTCTGGTGGTTCAGGATTTATATCTGGTGGTCCAGGGTTCTCGGGGGGCAGCTGTGGAGCCGGACAGATCCGCCATGTGGACGGCAGCTGTGTGACTCCTACAGTTACAAGAAACTTATATGTATACACCGCCCCAGACGTTCCCCATACAACAGGCCCTCGACCTGATATTCCTCCACCCAGAGTAGAGCACAACGTTATATTCATCCGTGCTCCTGAGGGTGGATTTGGACTACAACCCGTCGTCGTGCCGCCGCCACAGCAAAGGAACGTCGTGTATGTCCTAAACAAGCGCACTCAGCATGGTCAACAAGTTGTCCACGTACCGGCACCTGAGCCACAAATTCCACAGGTGTACTTCGTCAATTATGCTGATGGCGAAAACCCAACTCTCCCCAGCGGCGTGGACCTCCAGTCTGCTCTTAGCTCCGCTTCTCATGGCAGTGGTGAGGTTATTGTGAGCGGCGGCGGCAGCATCGGAGGCGGCGGTAGCATTGTGAGCGGTGGTGGCAGCATCGGAGGCGGCGGCAGCAGCATTGTGAGCAGCGTGGGCACTTCTGGTGTCACGTCCCCGTCTAATCTGTACGGGGCGCCCTAGGTGACTTCCCGTGCCTCAAGTTAATGCTGGTCATCCCTGCCTCATCAATCTGCCCTCGAACACACACGTTTATCCTTTATCTTTTGAGAGTAATATATATGTACACACACGTCACACACTCATTAAATATATATATATATATATATATATATATATATATATATATATATATATATATATATATATATATATATATATATATATATATATATATATATATATATATATATATATATATATATATATATATATATATATATATATATATATATATATATATATATATGAGAGAGAGAGAGTTAAACAAGGAGACATTCATGAATATTCCTAATAAACATGGAAGGATTTATAGTTGTTTGTCCCTACATTACCGTACAACGAACTTCTACAGAATATAACACAAGTTTGTGAGAGTAAACAGTCACATAGTTCCATCACAAAGTTCATTTGTTGACCTCCAGTTGTGACCTAGTAGGAATTATTCCCACTGAGGAGGAATGGTATATCGGTAAAATGAATTTACAATAAACAGTAGCTACCTAGGAAAGAAGTACTGTACGGTGGTGACTTAGGAGGGCTTGAGGGATGTCCGGGTTCCTCCTTCCTCATCCATATCCCGATATCCGGGACTTCTATTTGTCAGAGTTATATATATTGCGTTCCAGAGTTAGCCTTCTCTCAGTCACTATGTAAACACATACTGTGACGAAACGTCAGGAATAAAGCTCATTCTCTTAGTCGTGTTTCATTCACTACCACACTACCACCTCACCTCTGAACAATGTTCAACTCCAAGTACCATAATTATAAAACCTGGTGTGCTTTGGAACATCACCACTGGTTAAGCCATGTTTTCCCCGCAACGCTATTCTGATATCTACATGCAACCGCGATACATTTACTCAATATACCAGATGCTTCCTTACCAAACAAACAAACAAACAGACATCAGCATAATTGCCCCCAAAACACTTTACAAATCAGTTATTGCAATATTCATGACTGGGCATCAGTCTTGACCCATTTCACTTTCGCTTGCAATCAATTAAACCAGATTTATTGTTCCTAACAGAAACTCACGCTTCCCCTCCTTAACATCTCGCTTTAATTTTCCTGATTAGAATCCTTTTTCAGATCTCAGAGGTGATGATGGCATTCTGTTACTATGCAAAGATTGACTTTCAACATAATCAACATCTTTGTTTCTCACTGTTGCTTATCCTTTCACAGTCGTGTACTGTGGTTCTGTAGTATTTCTGACTTTGGTGATGTTGCTGGTATTTTGAGGTCCGCGTCCAATTGGAGTTAAGTTATTAATATTGCTATTCACTCCTTCTTGCTGGATTCTATAGAACATTACTGCAGAACCACAAACAGAACTAGGGCTAATCCCATTTCAGGCTTCCATTGCTTAAATAAGATAAAACAGCAGGTCTTGTGTGAAAAACAAAGCCTAGGTTAGTAGGGTGTGTCATAGGAGGGAAGATCAGCTAAAACTAATGGCCCATCACTTTTTTGGTAGATTTTAGTGTATATAAACAGAAAATAATTTCAGTTTCAATATTTTGCAACCTTTTGCTAGGTAAATTTTAGCGTGAAGTTTATCGAAAATCTAACGTACAGCTGCATTAGTGCATTACAATTAAATAGTGAACATTGCTTTCTGACTTCATTCTTTAACAATCCAACTAACAATATTTTTTTCTGTTTCAGATTCTGATGCATTTATAAGTTGATAATATTTGCGATGGCTGCTTGTGTCAGGACGAGGAACCAAAAATCCAGCAATCTCAGTCACTATCTTGGGTCTGGTAGAGAGCTCCTGAAGTCGGAGTTGCCTACATTGAGAGATGCTTTGAGATACGGTGTTTTAATCAGGCAAATCAGTGAAAAGAACCAAAGAACTTACACAAAGACATTGCCAGTGATATGACCAAAGCTATCTTGGCACAGCACACTCTGGCTAACGCTCAGTTCAAGCCTCCAGTCATAACAAGTCAGAAGAAGATTAGTGAGAGACTGCTAGCCAGTTGGGAAAAGGCAAGAGATATCTCTCTTGGGAGAGGAAAACTTGCAGTTAAGGACAGCTTTGCCAAGCAACTGGACCAGTTATTTGACATAATTACTTGCAAGTGCCCAATTGTTCACTGTCCTGAGTTTGGATGCGATCGTGACTAAATCCGAGGCCCACATCTCCTGTATTTGCAAGCGTGAACTGAAGATTCCTGTGATCGAACTGGCATTTGTCAAAGCACAGAGAGAGAAGACTGGCAGTATAGGGGCTCTCATGATTTCTAGCCAAGATATTCCGGAGTCCAAGAGACAGGAGGCTGCCACAGAGAGACAGAAGAGGAGAAGAGTTGCCGAGGAAAAGAGACTTGAGAAGGCCCAGGGTGAGGTAAAAAAGGCCGATGATTGGAGTCAAGCTGATTCAGAGTTTAATGACTTCCCCATGGCTGATCCGAGTGCTGACCAGGAGAATGGTGACTTTGTCCCTAACCCAGAAAATAATGATCCCAAACCTTCCAGGCATAACATTCGAAATAGGAAAGATATCCCGAGCATAGCTCTGGCCAGCATGCGACACCACACTGGTCTCAGAGAAACTGCAGAGATAGCAACAGCTGCCTGGATTGACGGTGGTTTGATAACACCTGATGATGTTCACCTGGTGATAGATCATAACAAAGTAAGGAGAGCTCAGGAGAAACTTGTCAGTAACCTAGAAGAGGAGTTTGATAAGGGAATAAGAGAAAATGGAATCAATTGTTTGTTCTTTGATGGGAGAAGGGATGACACTAAAGTGTTCATGAAAGTTGGAGATTCTGACAAGTTGTTCCCTGCCATGGTGAAGGAGGAACACTACTCCTGCTGCAGTGAACCAGGAGGGAAGTATTTGTGGCATTTCACTCCAGAGAAAGATGACATGAGGAAACCAGCTGAGATAGTGGTAGATAACATTGTGAACTGGCTCAGAGAGAGGAACGTAGACCAGACCCTGCAGGCCATTGGAGGGGACAGCACCAACACGAACACAGGGTGGCAAGGGGGGTCATACAGTGGATAGAGCGGAAGATTGGGAGGAAGCTGGTCTGGATTGTTTGTGACCTCCACACCAACGAGTTGCCACTCAGACATCTGATCCAAGCATGTTTTCAACCCTCCTCTTGGCAAGATGCTGGACTCTGCCACTGAGTTAGAAATAAATCCGAGCTTTGAAAAAATCACAGTTGGCCCTCCACTCGTTGAGCTTGCACATACTGTCATTGACGACCTGAGTACTGACCAGTACTATGGTTACATGATTTGCAGTGCCATCAAAACTGGGGTCATGCCTGATAGACCTGCTTACCTGCAGATAGGTCCAGTCTCACATTCTAGGTGGCTCAACGGCTCTCAGGTTCTGCAGAATTTGGGTCGCTCATCATAACCTGAAAGGGAACCAGCTTCACAACCTGAGACTTATTGTCCAATTCATCGTGAGTGTCTACTTGCCAAATTGGTTCAACACCAAGGTCAAGTCATCGTTCTCCGAAGGTCCGAGGCATGTTCTCTTCCAGCTTGAGCTCCTGAGGAGTCAGCCAAGGAAGGTTGTTCAGATTGTGGAGCAGACTGTGAGGAGATCTTCCTGGTATGCTCATCCTGAGGCAGTTCTGCAGACAATGCTCTGCAGTAAGGATGAGGAGGAGGAGAAAGAGTGATCAAAAAGATCTTGGATATGAGACTTATGAGAGGATCTGGGCATGACGAATCAGTTGGTGACGATTCCTTCAGGGTCAGGAAGACTCCTGAAGTCAATCTAGGTGCCAAGACCCTCACTGATCTCATAGATCTGGATAACATCCAGGCTGGCAGTGAGCCCCTCTTACCTGCAGCCTCACCAATGTTCAAGTCAGAGCTTTCCTGGACAACGCCATGCATGTCCCTGCCTGGCCCTCGCACACCCAGAGTATAGAGCGTTGTGTACAGCAAGTGAGCGAGGCCAGCAGTCACGTGTACAGCCAGGAGAGGAGGGAAGGCTACATCCGAGCTCAGGTGGTCAGCAGGGAGGTGATGAGTAGAAACAGAAGCAAGAAAGACATGTTCTCTATGGTGTGCAGCAACACCGGGTCGTAGTAGTAAAACCGGTTTTTGTATTTGATGATTTTGTTTTCTAAAGGAATATTAAATTTAATAAATGTGTCAAGATCATTCGTTTCACTATTCTGGATCATTTTCATCCTAATAAATTAACCTGATACATTTACTTTACTTTAAATAAGCTATTTAGTGGTGTTGGTAAAAGGGTGGGAATACTGAATTTTCATAAGATTTCAAGTTAAAATTTACCTAGCAAAAAATGAAAACTTTTCAAATCTGAAGATATCACATGATTCTGCACATAGAACTACATCATTAATACCATGGGCCGATTTTTCAAACTCAAAAAAAAAAATTCGCCTCCGTATGACACACCCTACTAGGTTAGTCTTTTGGTAGTCCCCGTGGTGCTGTGGTAACGCTCCCAATTCCCACGCTGAGGTCCCGGGTGGATTGAAACATAGTACAAGACCATCTCTTAGTCCCTCCGTACCTCCCTACTAAATTTCCACAGTTTTGAAAATATATATGAAATTCAGTTGGGAAGTGCGGATGGCCTGGAGAATGCACTCGGGTTTGGAATATAATGGAACTGTGTCTGTGTCCTTACACAAGCATACAGGTACTGGACATAAATATAACATACTATCCTCCTCCAGCGGGTATTGAACCTGGGCCCTTGGCTTGGAGACAGGATCGCTACCTATGACCTACATAGTGTTTCAATTAGTAGTTCAAGGATTAAGGAACTGGTCTATTCGATTACGAATCACATATCTGTGAATTTCTCAGGGTTACTGGCTTACTGCCTCTAACACACACACACACGAAAAAAGGCACATGGAGGTGTTAGCAGTGTATTTGCCTATCACCTCCCTGGCCTGGTACAGTTCAACACAGGAATAAGACATCATTCCTACATCCTTGTTAATGGGGCTAGGACCACTAATTTCATATTTCAGAAAGTGTAAACTAGTTATTAATACACATGTAGTAAAAAAGTGGAAGTGGGTCCCATCGGCACGACTACCTCTTAGGGACTGTAGATACAGCACACTATACCAAGCCTTTGGT